GTGGTGGTGGTGTTGGTGATATGCTTGCTCAACATATGAATTCAGTTAATCTTGGTAATAATGATTCACATAATTATGACAATGGTACACATGATCATACACAAAATATGAGTGTATTATCGTCAAAAGAACAGCAACATTATCAATCAAATAGTAGTAATATTTCGTTATCACGTCCATCTCAAACATCTTCATCATCGGGTCCGAAATCATACGCATCTGTTGTTTCATCTGATATGATAAATTCAACTAACAATAAATCGACTTCATCTATTTCGAATTTACCGATTCGTTCAATAAATGAACGTACATCTAATCCTTCGAATGATTCTTTAAATATGCGTTCGAATAATCAACAATCACGAAATGGTACAGGAGGATATAATCCTCGTTATCAACAACAGCAACAACAACAACAGCATCATCAATCATCTGGTAATGAAGGGTTTCTTAATTGGACAAATAATAATACAGATCGTTCATCTAATAATACTACTAACAATAATAATAAACGACAAAATACATCATCATCTCGTACAACCAATAGTAATCAAGAAAAACATGATCAACAATATAATCCAAAAGATTTTAATTTAAATCCAAAAGGCGCACGATTCTTTGTTATTAAATCCGTATGTAACATACATAATAAGATCAGTTAATAATTTTCATTCTTTTTTTTTTTAGTATTCTGAAGATGATGTACATCGTTCAATAAAATATAATATCTGGTGTTCAACTGAACATGGAAATAAACGTTTAGACGCTGCATTTCGTGAACGTGAAGGAAAAGGTCCAATTTATTTATTTTATTCTGTTAATGCATCAGGACATTTTTGTGGTATGGCTGAGATGATGTCACCTCTTGATTATGATCATCAAACCGATGTTTGGCATATGTCAAATAAATGGCAAGGTAAATTTGAAGTCAAATGGATTTATGTTAAAGATGTACCAAATCAACAATTTCGTAATATACGTTTGGAAAATAATGAAAATAAACCGGTGACAAATTCTCGAGATACACAAGAAATACCCTATGAAAAAGGCAAATTAATGTTAAAAACTTTACATATGTACCGTCATAAAACATCTATATTTGATGATTTTCAATATTATGAATCAAAACAATTAGAAGAAATAACGACAAAAAAACCTTCAAATGATGATGATAATAATAATAATAATAATAATAATATTAATAATAATGGTAGTAATAACAATAGACGATCATTATTATCTAACAGATCAACAACAACAACAACTCAATTAGAACAGCAACAAAATGAACATGATGAAAATGAATAATAATACATGCGATGATTCTTTTTCTGAAAATATACGAATTTGTATTTTCTCGATTTTTATACAGAAAATTCTTTTGCTTCTTTATATATATATATATATATACACTTATATATATGTATACGTTTGTGAGCTATTTTTAGTAAACATTCATCATTCTGTATTTCGCGTATATGTATATTTCGACATGAGATTATTTGTTTTTCTTTGTTTCTTTTCAACATATTGTGCTAAGATCATACCACAACAGCAGTCTATTGTTGTTGTTGTTATTATTTTATTATATTCGTTTTGTTGTTGTTTGTTTTCTTAACATCTCGTACTTTAACTTATTCTCATACATACATTCATTCATTCATGTTTCTTTATTGTTGCTGTTTAGATATCTTCATATCATATTTCTCCATGCTTAAAAGTTTCTTTTCTTCTTTTTTTTGTTGTCCTTACATCATTTCGTCTCTATACTTTATTTGCGTGTGTGATCATTATCTTTCGTTTTTTTCTCTCTCTCTCTCTCATTTAACGTCGTTATTCGATTACATACATTTCGTTTTTTTTTTAACATTGTATTCTCTTGTATGTTTGTCGTTATGTATCGTTGTTGACTTGATTTTTATTTCTGAGAGATCAACTGAAGACACGAAAAAAAAAGAAAAGAAAATTCAAAATACATGATGGAGCATTAAAATATGAATTTGATAAAATATTATTTTATTCTTTTACTTTACACTATAACTGATGAAGAAAAGAAGAAGCAAGAGATTTTTCTCAAAAAAAATACATTTACATAGATATTTGATCACACCAAAAACAAATAGAAATTAATTACCCAAGTAGCACTTTTTTAAATTTACTATTCATATCATCGGAATGATTTGTTGTTGTCATTGAACATGTTGATGTTGGTGTACAAGCAGGTGAACAAAGAAATTGAAGTAATGGTAAATAAAATTTACCACAAAAATCAACAAATTTTATATTTTTATGACAACTTTCAAAATAAACACCTAAATAAAAAAACGAAGATATATATTTCTATTATAGTTGTATAAAAATAAATCTTACCTTTGCATTTTGGATTCAAACATGATTTAGCTGAATTTAAATATTCAATAAGACATTTTGGTATTGATTTATCATCATAATCTACTCTATGAAGTTTTATTGTTCTAGCCGCTAATTCTTTTAATGTAGGAACATCATATGTTAAATCACGTACGAATCGTACAACAAGTGGATTATTTCTTAAACTTAATTCTTGTAAATCAAGACGTATAATATCTGGCGGTAAAGCACAAAATTGATTATTATGTAATGAAAGTGATTTCAATCGATTTAAACCTTAAAAAATAGAATTTTGTTTTTTTTTCTAAAAGTAAATTTTATTCTCATACGAGATATTGATCGTGGTAATGTTCTTAAACGATTATCACATAAATTTAAAACAATTAATGAATCCATATATCCGATTGAATCAGGTATATTACCAATTTGATTTCCACCTAAATACAGGACTTCCATTCTAAATAAGAAAAAAAGTTTATTTTATAGTTTTTTTTTCTTGTTTACTTTGTTAATGTTTGAAACAGATCAGGTAATATAGTTATGCGATTTGAACCCATATAAAGTTCTTTTAAATTAACCATACGAAATATTTGATATGGAAATTGTTTAAAACGATTTCCACCAAGATTAATAACTTCCAATTGTTTTAATTGATCGAAATCTTTAGGTAATGATAGATCATCAAGAGAATTATTTTTTAAATATAAATTTTTTAAATTTTTTAAATAGATTATTTCATGTGGCAATTGTACTAATTGATTATTTGATAATTCAAGTGTTATTAATGATTGAAATTTATCAATTTCAGGTGTTAATGTTAGAAGTGAATTAGAATTTAACTGAATATTTTTTATATGATGTGGATTTTCAACTGTTGCTGTTAATTCATTATAATCGATTGCATTTAAATTTAAATGTGAATAATCTATTGTATCACTAGATTTGAAAAAAAAATTATATATAGATATATTTATTAATTATATTTTTTTTCATTGAAATCGTTACCTGAAATCATCAAAGTCATCAACATCATCAAGATCATAATCATCTTCATAACCTTCTTGGGAAGGCAGTGCTGTCGCCATTTTCAATCTTTTTTTTTATAATATCTGTAATAAAGAATATTATTTCAGCTAACTACATGTGACAGAAAAAGCAAAAAAGAAACCGAGAAATGAATTGACTATATATGAAGACACATAATAAAGAAGAAAAATACAAGGACATCGATGCAAAAATAATAAAAACAACGATTCTTTTTTTTGATACGTTTTCGTTTTATATATAAAAACGACCGTGATGACGATAGGATTTTTTTCCTTGTCCTTATATATATATTGGAGGAAGAACAAAAAGAAAAGATATACTGCTTACAACTATGTAAATGCATTATTTTATCATTTATGATAAAGATAGTGGGAGAAAAATGCCGAGTCATATGCCAGTGCAATTGTATATGCCCCCTTCCATTCAACCTTTTTCTTTTCTAATAACAAATCACATGAGATAAACCTACCTAGCAAAAAAAAAATAATCAATTTTTACCATCCATTCAACGAGTGGAACTCACTATGACGCAATTGATAAGTTTTTTTTTCTGATAGAAAAATTCATGTCTTTTCAAAAGTAAAAGAAAAAAAACCGGTTATATTGTACACTATTACCGTACAAAAGAAAATGTCAGGTCAAAGTACAAAATGGCTTGAATCTATTTACCTAAAGAACGAAATAGAAAGAAGAAGAAGAAAAAAATGACGTAGGAAGCTTCTATGGATGTCTTTAAACAATCAGTGGTTTTATAACCGGTTTACTTTTTTTTCCAGACATCAATCTATTTTTAATCAACAAAGATTTTCTGGTAGAAAAATTACTTTTTGAAAATATCAGGAAACTGTTTTATATCTATTACCTTATAAAAGATCTGACAGGTATAAAGAATACGTCATTCATATAAAAAAATAGTAATTTATTTGAAATGGAATGCATATATATGTGCGCTTCCTCCCGTTATGACTGATTGTTTATTGCAACATTTATAGTGATGAAATTTCGTCATTGTTAAATAAACAATTTTATATCGACCGATGTATGAAAATTATTCGATTGGGTAGAAAAAAGAAAAATTTGTCTTTGATCTTTGTTACTGTTACATAATGCACTGTTAGAACAAAAAAAAAATATTTGAGAAACCTGATATTTTTTCAATTACGGATGAACTTTGTTTAGTAATCTTTATATTTTTGAATGCTAAATAAAAAAAAAATGTCTCCAATGGTGATCAATGCTAAAAAAAACTTCAAAATTAAATGTTCTTCTAATATAAGTACTTTATTTTGTTATATTTTTTCCCGTTTTATGTAAACAAGTTTACTCATGTGACTCACATGATGTGAGTAAACTAGCCACATGAATGCAGTCTATAAAAAGAATACCTTAAGATAAGACTCAAGTGACATTTGCAGGAGTTTAAGTAAACAAAAAAATAAACATGATTCCGTATTATTCTAGACTAAATGAGTAATCATTTCAAAGAGATGTTTTCATGCAGCGGCGGATTTAGGGAGGGTTTTTTTTTGATTTTTTACAGCAAAAATGAACGAGAAAATAGGTTCACACTACTTCGATTGGACTCAACAAATAGCTTTTACCCAAAATCGCCCCTCCCCCTCCTAAAATCCTAGATGTGCTACTGATTTCATGTTCTAGTAATATTTTCATTTCGTTTTCAGTAGTAGATCAAATTGATATATAATGTTATTTCTATTGCACTTACATCTATCTTCAGGCATTATTACTTTGATAGATTAATCTATAATTTATTAACATTAATGTTTTAATGTAGTAACTTTCAAACATCAAGCGATGTCAATATTAATCTGTCTCAATAGTATTGTTAATTTACGTTTTTTATCTAATATTTCTATCAATCATATTTTGTTTTTATTAGTTTTGTTTTTTTAGAAAAGAAAAAGAGAGAATGAATGCTTTCGTTAAAATTCCGATAAGATTAAACAAATGATTCTTTGTCGAATGAACGTCGATTTAAAGCATCAAGTACATCTTGTACGCTAGGATAATAATAGAGTTTATTTGTTGTAGTATTTCTAGCCAATCGATCTGTTGTTACTGAACGAGATAATGCATGTGATCGAATTGTTGAATCGATATTTGATGGATTCATATCAATTGTTGAATTTCTTTTTGTTTGAGGCATATACTGTTGTTTCTTTGGTTGTTCATTAACTTTATCTGAATGATGATGATGATTCATAATAGGTACAGGACGTTGAATTATTTGTGAATTATTTATTTGTATTGATGTTGAATTTGATGTCGAAGCATGATCGATTGGCTCAAAATAATAATTTTTATTATGCAAAATTGTAGTTGCATTGTCATATAATATTCGATTATTGCTATTATTATTATTCATCGACTGGCAAATGTCTTTATTTTCTTCATGACAGGATGAGTTTGGTTCTAGAATAAAAATGCATATAAAAAATATACTGGCAATCTCTTTAATCTATGGTGAATATCGTTGATTCCTTTTTTTCTTCTCCTCTGGCTTTTTATATCTCATGAGAGACAACATGCCAATAGAAAAAAAAATATATATAAAATTTAATCACATATACCGATAGGAGATGATATATACCAAAGAATTTTCTTTTTTCATACTTTGGTTAATGATATAGGAAATATATAATAAGAAGGAGAGAGAAAAAAAAATACCTACCGGCATCAGTAAGAATAGTCTCTTTTGAATTCATCATTAATTATGACAAGTGATTAAGCATATAAGTATTATGTAAATGTGAAAATGATTTATTGAATAAAATGAATTTTTGAATTGTGAGAGATTGTTTGACACGTTGTTGTTACTAAATTGTAAGAAGAATAAATGTCTCTTACAATTTTCAAAGATATTAACTAAATATGTTGTCTATATATATATTCGTTTTCATTGTCTCTCGTTTGCCCTTGAACAACGGATTCAATATGACTTACATTCTACGTCGTTCATTCTTTTGTTATATCAGTAACATTCAATTATTTTCAGTATGCGAGCAAAGTTGCATGTGAAGAAAAAAAAAGGATGGTATGGATACCATCGATGTTACTATTCATTCAATGAAACAATCAAGCGA